AGGTTGTGCTTCTCCCTTTTGGGCTTTCAAGCTACCTGCAGATAGCTAACTACCTTGGGGTGCTTCGGAAATAAAACGGTAGGAATGGGGTGGGTTAGTGAAGTTGACAAGCCAGCGGAGTCACTGCGTGAAGAGTGTCTGAAGACGTCCTCGTCATTTCCCTTAAGAAATCTGGTTTTCCTAGTCGCTCTCACCGGAATTCTTTGCCCAGAAGCTCGAAATGAGTAATAGGCCTTGTGTCTTCCAGTTCTCGCTAATACGGTAATGAATATATTCAAGGAGAGCAAGAAGCTGCTGACAATTAGCACCTAAACTTCTGTTTCTCAAAAAGTCCCTATAGAAGCCCTGCTCCGATCAAGCGCGGAGCCTGAAGGAAGTAGAAATCAGGTGGAGACATCTTCTAAAGGAATTAAAAAGCCAGAGCGGATTTTATTTCCTTCAGTCAAGTGTGAATGATGGGGCGGCCGCCTCAAGGGCGACGAGGTGCACCCGACAAAGCGCGGAGTGAGGGGCTGGGGCGGGGAGGGGCGTCCCAAAAGCCCAGGCCACGGAGCCGGCCGCCGAGCGGTGCCGCTTCCCTGCTCCGCGCAAGGCGTCCCGAGGCCCAGAGGCCACTTTGACCCTGGAAACCCAATTCAACAGGTACCGGCCTCCCCACCAGTGCCTGTTCCCCGATCTCTGGGAGTTTCATCTCCTCAGAGTGACTCGCCACAGGTATATATATCCCGATACAGCTGTTGGCACGTTTGTCAGATTTGTTAATTTCTAGGAATTTGTACGTTTAGGTGAAGCCGAAACCTCTAAGACTCATGTTACGTTCTAAAGTGTGCGAGTCTCTTCGCACTGCCTGGGCCCTTAGTAAGGCTTCTTTAAGATGAAGGGGGGTTACTGCTTTGACCCCCTCGCCCCGGCTACGATTCAGAAGCTTCATTTTCTCTGCCTGGGGCTCCCTCTGAGGTTGTGTGTGTGTGCAGTGCCCTGTCAGCTGGGCCGTCTGTCATTTCCTTTAGTCCACGAAGGACAACGTGACCCCATACTGGACGGTTGGACAGCTTGGGTAGACCCACAGCTGGTGGTCAACCAGCGAAAACGTGGTCGGGAGCACAGGGCGCTATGGACGCCTCCAGGGCAGAGCAGGGGCCAGGGAAGCCCCAGGTCTCCTCGAGGTGACGCCCAGCCTCCCACTGTCACTCAAGATGACCCCTGACCCATGGGGTTCAGAGCCAAGCAGGGAAGGGGAGGGGGCAAAGGAAAGAAACCGAGAGAGGCAACTTTAAATATATATGCTCTCAGCTCTCTAAAAGGGTGGGTAGTATTTCTCTGAAGAAAGGTGGGGATCCCACTGGACCCCCTTATTCCTCAGCCCTGGAGTGGGTTTGGCAGTAAGGATAGGAACAGAATGGGGTGGCATGGAGTCAGTTGCTAGTGGCTTGTCTGGCTTCATCTTTTCCAGGGGCCTATGAGGGCTGAGGGCTGGAAAACCCTCAGCGAAGGCCAAGGTGACCATCCTACCTGCTCCTCGGAGGTAAGTGGGTGGGGTGATGAAGGGCAAAAGGTGGCCCGTGGTGGCCCCTAGAAACCTCCCCCCACTTCTAAAAGAAGGCCTGGGTTCCTCCACTAACTTTATATTCATCCATTCCACTGTTCACTGAGCATCTATTATATGCCAGACCCACCGTATGAGACTCTTAAAAATGCAATATATGCAGCAATCAGGCTGCACACCCAGAGCCACGGGATTGTTTCCTTGACGTGTTGAGACCCAAGTGTATCTTGGTATTGCCAGAGTCGCTGCTGCACAGATTCCAATGCTGGGCAAACGGACACGAGGAAACATAACTTTTGCATAACTTTTACTTCTCCTTTCCTTTTTTCTTTCTTCAAGTAGCAAAGGACCATTAATTAGAAGAATAATTACTGCTACCCTATATTATCCCAACCTGTTCAATTTCTATCTGCTGCAGACAATGCTAATAATGGCAATTATTGCTTCTATAAACACCCCGAGGCGGCCCTCTTCCCCCCCGCAGTGTGTGTGTGTGTGTTTAAAGAATATATATAAAAAGTTCCCCCGCTCATTTGCATAGCTTCATCTTTACCTTTTCCCATTCAGCCTTTGCAAAAAGCATATCTATTCAAAGCCCTAGCAGAAAGCATATCTATTCAAAGGGCATTTAGTCCATTTCTTTCTTGGCCGGTAAACCTATTCATCAATTGTTCTGCCTTGTAGATTGCATTCTAATGCTAATCTAGCGTGTTAAATATCTTTTTGTTCCCCTTTCACCGTTTTGTCATTCAGTTTATCCAGTTTTGGTCACCCATTTTATTTATTTATGCGCCTGCTCCTATTCAGGGGCTCATGTATTTTTTATTATGTTGTTTCACTGTCACGCAGTGTCAACTTAGTCTATTCAATGGGGGCTACTTGAAGGCCGGAGGGACAAAGCCTGTACACATTGCACCGCTATTCATTCCGGCCAGCTGGATCGGCTGAAAAAAAAACCTTGTGAAAAGAAACGCCTCACAATGGACACAGAAGAAGTGCACAATGCTAACAGTTTTCCAAATACCACTGATTGGTTTCTTCACAATGAAGAGAAAGCCGCCGCTTTTTCTTAGCTCCACTTCAACAAACAACACTCTCACAAAACCTCCCAACCCTGCGTTTTGTTCCCGGACAAAACCTCCTCGACTGTCTAAACGCTCCCACTGAAGGACAAAAAAAAAAAAAAAAAAAAAAAAAAAGGGATAAAAAAGCTCTTTTCACCATTTCCCTCTTTTTTTTTTTTTTTTTTCCTGCAAGGAAGAAAAAAGAAAAGAGGGGGATTGTCAGTGAATTAATAATATCAGTCTTTTAAAAGAAGAGGGCTGACCTTTGAGATGCACTGGGCTGAGGGAGAAAGAACAGGGGAGAGATTAATAAAGTTTAGACGGCGCTCTGGCCGCGGCGGGGCTGCGGGCGAGAGGAAGCAGCCGCTCCGGGCGGCGAGGGCGAGAACTCAGTCTGGAGGACGCGGCCCGAGCCGCGCTCTGATTGGTTGGCGCGCGGCCGGCTGCAGGCAGAGTCGCATCTTTGCATCTTCCGCGGCCCGCCTCGGGCCGCCCGGAGGCTGGGAGGATGGAGGCGTCCGCGCGGCTCGGTTCCAGTTTCTTCGGCGGGGGGGGGGTGTCTGGGAGAAACTGTTAAGTAACGACGGCAGCGAGCTCCGCCGCCCCCCAGCCGCCCTGCCGCACCGCAGAGCCCCGCCGCGGTCCCGATTGCTGCCGCAGAGCAAAGCCACCTGTTCGCTGCGGAGCCCGAGGCGACAGGCCCGGCCCCTCTGAGGGCGTTTGAAGCTGTCAGGCGATCGTGACCACCAAAGAAACGTCGTCCCGGAGTTTCAAAACCTTCCGTGGAAAAATGGCGCAATTACAAGGAAAAGAAGAAGGGGGGAAGAAAGGAAGCAAAAGAAGAAAGGAAGGGAGCAAGGAAAGAAGAAAGAGGTTGAGATGGAGATAGGGAAAGAGCGAGAGACAGACACTGCGAGCCCGCAGCAGCTCCTGGCCTAGGCCCAGCCCTGCAGTTGTGGTCACTTGCAGACTCCTACACTACCCCGGCCGGCCCGTTCTCCACGCCCTTCAGTCCAAGTCTCTCCTCTGACGCCCAACCCTGACTTCTGCACCGGTTAACTTGGCCTGAGGCTTTCTCCCCCGCCAACTTGTTAGCAAGCCCTTCAGAGCCAGAGTGGGTGATATACGAGTCTTGGGGGCCTGTGGAGGGAGCCACTCGAGCAGCCGCACAAGCTGTTGGCGAGGTGAGCCCGGGGCTCGTCCCCGGCCTCCTCCCCCTCCTCTTTCCCGTCTTTCTAGTCTTCTCATTCATCAGCACTCCGAGCGAGCGTTTCTCCCAGAAAGCGCTGGTCTTTGGGAAAAGGGGAGGGGGTGGAGGGGCGGGGAACCTTTGGCCGGTGGGCCGAGCTGGACGGCTCAGGGAGGTAACGAAGATTTAGGGCTGGGGTGATTTCCAGCGAGCTGCAGGAAGTTCCGTGTAGAGAAGTGATGGGCTGCTACAAAAGGGAAAGACGAAGCTTTGAAAGGATTTAATTAACCGTGTCAGGGATAATTACCCCTGGACAGTCCAAATTAGTTTTGCATAATCGCTCAGAACCATATGAATTAACTTATAATATTGCAAAGAGCTCGGGGAATAACAGGAGAGGGATCGTTTTAATTAGTGAATCAGGGTCAAACCAGCAGAGCCTATTTCTCACATTTCCAAAACTTTTCATGGTTTTTAAAATATTATTCCGTTGGGAGAACACAATGACTTTAAAGACTTGGATTGCTTATAACGACAGGCGGCTCCAGGGCTGGCCCGAGTCACCCGGGGAACTAGTTTAAGACTTGTACACAGTATCTTGAGAATTTCCATCTCTCTTGGTGGTAGTGGGGGTGGTAGTGGAGTCTCTCCCTACAGTTACATTTTTTTTTCTTGATCTTCTCGATGCCCTATCATTTCTTTTCTAGGACTAAAACCCTTAGAATTGATTTAAAACTTTTCTCCATTGTAGACTCGCTTAACCTTGGAAATGCAACCCTCCTCACTAGAATTTGTTATACTACACGTCTATTTTAGGGTTATTAGCGTGACAGAATAACCCCCAAAGAGGCTAAAAGTTGTATATTTCGGTTGGCCATGATAACCCAACCAAATAAAACCCGAAGGTGCAAAAAAGAACACCCCAAAGATAATGTGAACAAATTACAATGATTTAAGTGGTGGGGCACCTCTACTAACAAGATAAAGTGGTCAGGCAACTTTCCCCTCTGAAAATGTTACTGGAAACTAGTGAAATGATTTGAACAGCCAGGACGTTTTCAATGGGTTTTGTTCTACTAGTTTATGAATGCCTTTTTTTTTTTTTAAAAAAAAGATAATGCAACTACTTGAGTTTTTTAAAATCTTCTTTCCTATTCACGATTAAAAATGTGATAAATCAGGTTTTTGGCTCTGAATAACAATGGCTTGATTTAGATTTCCTAGTAAATCTATTCAAAAGTGAAACAAAGGCAGCCTTTGGAGGATACCTTACACTTCACCTGGACCAGGCACGTAAGGGCAATTCAGATAAAAATCTTGTTAGGAACTCAACAAGAAATAGAGGATTTTCTCTTTTCCCTGGTTCAGGCTTTATTTAAACTCTTTGTTCAGAAAAAATGAACAGAGTGATAGTTGGATTCTAATTTACAGATATAGCTTAGAGGCATCTAATATTAAATTAGATCACACAAGAAAACCATTTACACATAAAAGTTAAAACCAATATTTAAACTTTTAAAACCTTTATATTACATAAAGCCAAAATGAAACTAAATACATGTTAGCCAACTTCATTCACAAACATCAGTCAAAATATATACATTTTTAAAAGAAACAAAAAGAGCTATAATTCAGGAAGGTTCCCTTTTCCCCTGAAGTGTGTTTTATCATAATTTGCAAATGAATTGCAGGCGGTCTAAAAAAATAAGCAAATCCAGGAGGGGACTCCAAAACACATTAAAATGGTTCAAGTTGGGAGAGAAATGCTAGCTGAAAAAGAGAGGCATCTGTCAAAACAATTCTGTGCTTTTTTGGCCCAGATTTGCTAAATAATAAATATATAATTACCACTCAGACAAAAAGTCTGATTTAATCTTAGATAAAATTGCGCTCCTGAAATAGTTCCCGCAATTTTTAAAAGTTTACTACTTTTGACATTTGTCCAAAATGTGTCTGAGTCTAGAACCGACTCAGAATCAGGGCCACGAAAAGAACCCCCGTCCCCAGAGCCGGCATTCCCACGGACAGGCCCACGCTTACAATCTCCAGGTGAGCTCGGCCGGGGGGAGCCGGGACACGGCCCCTCCCCTTCTCTGTAAACCGTATCAAAGATCCACGCCAGCGGATTCAGAGACTCCGAATAGATTTAATTTTTAAAGAGAGAGAAAATCCAATTGGCAACTTTCCTCTCATATCTTGCACATTCCTCGTCCGCCTTTCTTACTCCTCCAGCGAGCTCTCGCTCTGATTTGCATGCGGTCAGATACACAAAAGAACCGAGATCATCTCACATACAAAAGGCCGGATCCTAACCGGCCACTGGTCAGGAATGGATCCGGTTTGGGGGTTCTTTCTGCTTGAGAGAACAGAGCCCTGCAAAGTTCACACGGTACAAACAGAAAGCCAGGCTGCTCGGTGCCGTCCCCGCTCGGAGAAACGAATGACAGCTCCTGGCTCTGCCCGCGCGCCAGCCGCTTCAGGGAGCTCGCCACGCGGACCGGGGAGGCCAGGGGCCTGAGCAGCAGCGCACAATGGACCATAAACTTCCAACAAGCAAAACTGGAAAGCTCAACGTGTCAAAAAGTTACTCCTCCACCTGGGTGGGTCAAAACGCAACAGGTCCCGAAGTACAAAGTGCACTGTTGCGGGACAGACAAGGTCGCCCTCCGTCCGGCGGCTGCGAGGCGCGGGTGGGAGGCGCTCCGGCGGATTCACACGCACATCGCCCCCCGCCGGGCGCCCGCGCAGCTACGTACATCCAGCCCGGGACCCCGTCGCGGGAGATGCCCCGGAGGCCGCGAACTCGAGCCTATACATATGTACACGTGCGCAGCGGCCCCGCGGGGTCATAGCGCGGCGGCGTAGGCCGCGGGGTAGGGGTCCAGCTGCGGTTTGCCCATGCCCGGCAGCAAGATGTAGGCGAGCGGCGGCTGCAGCCCGGGGCTGGGCCAAGCGCTGCAGTTGCACGGGATCATGTAGCCCGGGTTGCCCGGGCTGGGGTGCGAGTGCGTGTGCCCCCCGGCGGCCGCGGCAGCCGCTGCAGCCGCTGCGGCCGCGCCATGGAAGGCGCCCGCGCCCGCGCCCGGGTAGCCCAGCGACGAGGCGTACGGCAGGCCGGACGACGAGGACGAGATCTCTGCCATCTTGGAGCCCAGGTCGAGCAGGGAGTAGGGGCTGCCCGCGGCGGCGGCTGCGGCAGCTGCGGCGGCGGCGGCGGCCGACTGCGGGAAGAAGACGCGCGCAGCGGCGGCGGCGGCGGCGGCAGCCGCCTTCTCGGGATTGGCGAGCAGCGACTCGGGCACTAGGCCGCCGCCCGCGCCCGCGTGCAGCCCCGCGCCCGCCTTGAGCGCCGGGTGCTCGGCGTCCGCCACGCCGCCCAGGCCGTAGGGCACTGGGAAGGCGAACTTGTCCTTCTTGAGCAGCGTCTTGGGCTTTCGGCGAGGCCGGTACTTGTAGTCGGGGTGCTCCTTCATGTGCATGGCGCGCAGGCGCTTCGCCTCGTCGATGAATGGCCGCTTCTCCGACTCGGTGAGCAGCTTCCACTCCGCGCCCAGGCGCTTGCTGATCTCCGAGTTGTGCATCTTGGGGTTCTCCTGGGCCATCTTGCGCCGCTGCGCCCGCGACCACACCATGAAGGCGTTCATGGGCCGCTTGACGTGGTCCACCGGCTTGGACATGCTCCCGCCGCCCGGGCCTTCGCCCTCGGCCCGGAGGAGATCAACGCCGGCTGCCCGCGGGGACCCCGGCGTCGCCCCGCGCGGGAGGAGGGGCCCGGGGGACCAGCCCAGGGCCGCCTCGGGGTCTGTGCCCGCCGAGCGCTCGGGAAATCCTCTCCGGGACGCCGGGACTTCTCGGCAGTGCCCCCTCCCCGCGGTGGCCGTGTGCCTTCTGCTTCCTTTTTGTCCTCCTTCCCCTCCGGAGGAGTCCGCTCGCGAAGTCCCCGCCGGTGGCCGCTGCCCGGCGGAGCTCTCCCCCACCTCGGTTCTCTCCCTCTCAGATGCAAAGCAGCCTCGAAAGTTGCGTCGAGGAGGCTCCACCAAGTTGAGCCGAGGCGCCCGCCGCCGTGTGCTGCCAAGTGCCAAAGGGGGCTCTCGGCGGCTGGAGTGTTTGGGTTCTCCTCGGTGACTTTCTCATTTGACAGACGCAGATGGGGGTGGGGAGGAGGGGAGGTGGCCCGGCAGGAGGAAGAGGAGGGGGAGGCGGAGGATCCGGGCGCGCACCGGCACGCAGAGAGCAGCAATAGATATAAATACAAATACGGCAGCACCAGCGGGTCTTCTTGGCTCCGGGCAGGGCGCGCTGACGGGAACCCCCCAATCGGCCAGGGTCCGAGGGGGGAAATGTGTCCCCCAGAACCTGCCTCTGGAGTCTTCCCCTCCGGCCTTTGCGCAGAAGGGGTGCAGAAGGAAGCTGGAGCAAGCCTGGGTCGCCTGGCCTCAGCGGAGAGGCTCCCGGCTCGCAGAGGCGCCGCCTCGGGCCGTGCCCGGGGCCATGCTGGATTCGCGCGCTCCGAGCCCTTCCAGGCGCGGCGACTCCGGCTCCCAGCGCGCGCGGGGCTTGGAGGCGGCACAGCCTCGGCGGGCCCGGCCGGGCTGCGTCTCCCGCTCGCTCCTCTCGACCGCTCCTCCCGGCACTTGCAACTAACTTCGCCCAAGTTTCCTGCGCCGGCGCCGCCGCGCCCCTCTTGGCGCGCTCGCCTCGAAGCGTGCGCCCGCCTGTGCGCCGCGCCCCGAGGCCTCTTTCTCCGGGCTTCTGCGGCTACGGCCCCGCAGGCCCAGGGGCAGAGGCAGTGGAGGAGGGGGGTCTACGGAAAACGCGCCATCACCTCAGTTCGCAGGTCTGCGCCTGGGCTGCTCCGGCTTTCCGCACTGGCGCGGCGCGGTGCAGCGGGCCCCTTCCCGTCCCAGGCCGCCACACTGCCGCTCGGGAGGCGGCTGGAGCTCTTGTGGTGGCTCAGGTGAGTGTCGCCACCTGCATCTGTACGCGCCCGCAGCCGGCGCTGGGTGTGCATGTCCAGCCTCGGGTGAGTGTGTGTATATCTTGGGGCATGCGGAGGAGGTGGAGCCCAGGACTCCGGGAGGGAGGAGGGGCCAGCGCGGAGCCTCCTCCGGCTCTCACACCCCCCCGGATCTGGAATTAACAGGATCCCCCCATCCAGCCCCCCGCCCCCCTCCCAATGCGCCTCCTCCCACTGCTTTGCACTTGAGAGCAGGTTTAGGCGAGTGCAGAGTCCGCAGCGCGCCGCCGAGTCTGCGCACTGTCTAGCTCTGGCAACCTTTGGAGTCACCCCCGGAGTCCTGGCCGGCCCGGGCGGCTGCTCCGGTCTCTGCTCTGGGAGTCCACCCGGAACAAGACGGAGGCGTGCAGCAGGAGAGCCTTGGGAACTACGGAGTTAGAGGGTTAAGCCTGCGGTGGTAGTGGCGGTGGGGTGCACCCTTGAACATATTTGAGACGGTTCCCAGCAAGAAAAGTGTTCATTTTCCTGGGAGACCCAAATGTTACTGGCAACAGATGCTTCCCACATTTTCTTACACCGGCGATATACCCAGTCAGGGGTACTGAAGTGAAAAATAGTTTAGGAGGGACCGGGCGTGCTCTTGGCAACCCTTTCTAAAAGGAGCTATCTTAGGCTGAGAGTATGCATCCCTGACTGCCTGTTCAGCTCTTTTATACTTCTGTTTTGTTTTTAATCCTGGTCGCCAGAGCTATTTATATGCCGATATCTTTAAGGTACAGTTAACTTCACAGTATCTCACTTAAATGGACAGATGGGGTGATGGTGTTTGAAGTCGTTAAGAAGGTATAAATCGTTTCTCTGAAAGAAACAAAAACATACTTATCACGGTATATTGGAATATTTTTATGCTGTTGAGTAGTTAGAGCAGTTTTAAAAAAATAGTTGAACATCATGCAAAAAATCAAATAGTATAGTTTTTATTGTGTATGTTTCTCACTTCTTGATCTACAGCACATCTGTCTGGGGATTTTAGTTTCAAGGTAGTCTGTCCTTCGCAGGGAACTTTCCTGCTTTCTTTGGCGGTTTGATTTTGACATTGCCAGGTGGTATGTGCAAGTAGCAACTTCTATGAACAATTCACTTTTTATGTCTTTTTGCAATTTATATTTGATTTGCACACACAACACAAAAGCATTGATTGCAGTTATGAACTTTAAGAACAGTTTTAAGCTATCAGTTATTTAAAAGTTAAGCATATTTTATTGCTCATTTTAAAAAAATAGTGATTTAAATTTTTAAAATTGTGTTGACATAGAAATGTGAAGCAGCAGTGGCATGTATGTGGGTTGGTGTTTTTCTTAAAATGTCACATTTGTGAATGCTTATTTTATTTATGCTGTTGTATTGGTGAAATGATTGGTCTGATTTCTCTAGAACTATATTCCTTTAGAAGGCTTTGTAAAGACACTGTTATTTGCAGACTCTGGGTGGTACAATGTTAAAACACTAGCAGGCGTAATTACATAGGCTAGAATATTAAATATGCTGTTTTGTGATGATAAACTACAAAATTATCATCCCTGAGTTTATAGCCTACTACCTTGTATAATAGGTTTGAGACAAAAATATTACATACTGTCACACAAAGAACATATTTAAAGAGACACAAGCTGTGAAAAACTGTTATTCACTAAACATCGTGAATAAAATTGAATCTAGTCATGAAAATTACCTTGACAAGTAAAAAGAGAGAAAGATTGAAGAAATTCATTTTATATTTGTGACATACATTATTTTATAGCCTTCCGATTAAAGTCTTGAAATCTGCTGTAAATAATTATTACAGTATAAAAATGTATATATGATTGAAATGTATGTTTATATATGCCACATCATCTAAAACTGAAATATACAAAGTTGCTTGGGTATCGTTTTTCCAATGCAAATTGTATAACATTGCCTGTTTGGTAATAGAAGGTGAACTGAATTTGAAAGTTTTGAAGTCCAAGAACGGTGAATTGTGGAAAACAAAAGTGTCAAAGAAGAAAATGACTGGGGTGTGCTTGTTTGTCTATTCGCCAAATAAAGTTTCACCCACTTTGAAATAGGAGAGATTTGGTTTTCAGTTCTGGCTTTTGGAGAATCAGTACTCTTGGCCTAAGCCCTTCATGACCTAAGCCTTTCACAGCCAAGGAAAGACTCACAATAAGCCATCAGTCCGTGTCATTGACCAGCCTCTCACCTCTTGCCTGAACTCCATTCAGCTTTTAACACATTTTCAAGCCACGTTCATTTAAATGTACCAAAATGTAAACTCACTTTTCATTCCCTCCTATGTTATATTTGAATTGATAGAATACTATATTTATGTTTGTGTACATTTTTGTCCTAAGGATGAAAAATACTAGGTTGTAGGAAGTGGAATAGTCTTGTATGAGCAAACATTGGAGGAAGGTTAATTTGAAAGAGAGTTTCAGTGTGATGGGACTTGTTTTGTCAACCCTAGGTTGCAAGAGCCTGGAGAAAAGTCTAATTTGATCAGTGGGATTTGTGTGCATCTGAATTTTTCTTGTGGCCACAGTAATACCTGTGATCAGACATGCATGTAATCTTTCTCAGAAAGATACTTTCTAGGAAAAAGTTGGTGGGTCTGTATAGATTGTTTCCTTTTTCTCCCCTGAAGTCTTCGTAGTAAAAGATCTTTTCAACTCTGCAACTTTCGCTAGGAGGCAGCAATGAGGTTGTTGGTGAATAAAAAAAAATACCCTGACAGCACCTGACTGGCTTTCTCTTTCTCTTCCATGAAAGAGAGGACAATACATGGGTCCCAAAGTCAAAGTGAGCTAAGACATTTTCCTCCATCTTTCCAGTTTTCTCTCACTGGCTTTTCACCCACACTGCTCACTGCTGCACTTTCCTAGACCTGCAGCCGAGAAAGGAAAGTGAGGAGATATCCAGAAGGGCCAGGTGGAAGTGATGGGCAGGAGAGGCTGGATCATCAATGTGCAAAGGCCACATCATGGGACCTGCACACTGAGAGGCCACAGCTAGGAGAACCCGGGGCTCTGTCCCCAAGCAAGACCAAGGAGAAAGAATCCTAACCTTTCTTCCTGCGTGGACAGGTAATGAAGCCTGTTTGTCCTGTTGAGAAAGAAATGGGCAAAACATAGCAACAGCCAAACTTCAGCTTTTGTCACAGTTCTCCTATCCTGCTACAGCCCCCCTGAAGGGAAAAATTGCAAATATATGCTGCATTCTTATTCTTATTAAGAGCTGGGAAGAACTGATTGAGTTCAGTAGTCATGGCAGGAATTGATAGCTGCGTAAGTAGCCTTTTACTATATGCTGCTACATTTTCATCTTTTTGAGGCTTCGTCCCTTTGTTGTTACTGCTCCTATCCTACCTAGAAACTAGAAACATACAGATCGATTATGAGGATGCTTTTCTGAATTTCTTGTTGATGGTGCTCAAGCAGGCTGACATTTTCAAAAGGAGCTTTACCTAGATGCCAGAGCAAGAAAAACAAAGCAAAATAAACCAAAAGCAGTGCCGTCTTGCCTTCCTCCCTCATGCTTCCGAACAGAAAAACTTCTATGAGAAAAGACAAGACAGACAACTTCACAACAACAAAATCCTGATTTTAGATCTCAAGAATCCTGTCAAAGCAATGGAGAGCTTTAGTTCTCTTAGGATAAGTGCTTTTTAAGTGGGAGGGAGCTGGTCTTGAACAAAACCAGAGATGCATGAGGAGAGTTGGACAGTCAGACTGCCACGTGGGCTGGGTAGTGAAAAGTCTCCCCAGGCTCCC